CAACCCAATCTTTATATTATTTCTCTTCAATCGCAGAATTGCATTCCCTCTTCACCATTAATGGCCACGGACAATCCTTATTCGCTTACAACAAATCTGGCTGGTTTGATGATCAGATTCATTGTTTAGTTTGTGATACATTATTTAAGCAACCTCTACTAATGCTGCAAGCAATCTCACATTAATTTTCACACCGATAATGCAACGGAAGAATATATATTAACACACAATAATTTTTTAGATGGAAACTTTGTTACCTGATAGTCATATGAATTTTAATTACATGTCCAACTAGATTTAACTCTTGAATAAGAGGATCTGTTTTCAATACTATTTTTTCCATCTACAAAATCTGATAAAACCGGCAATTTTGGCACCAGAAAGATTCAGACACCCGAACTTTAAATTTGTTTGATACAGATTCTGTTCGTCTGATAAAACCCTAAAAAATATGGTAACTAAAACCCTGCCTTTTGGACCCTATAATATGTTTGTTTGTTTTTCCTTCGAAAATGACATTTTAATTGTTGCAAACAGAGGGTGCTGTGGAACAGGAAACATCGAGGTGGCAGTTTTGTGATATAAATTGAGTCCGTCTACTTGTCCAGATGTCCCCAAGTATATATTTTGGAACAGTTATCATCCAACCGAGAAGGAATTGCGACAATGTAGGCTCTGCAAGTCTGACGTATTATGTAATTTTCACTCACTATATTAAGAAAATGCTATGATTTATGTATTTTACTCCTCCTTTGCAATTCTATAGGTAACTGAAAAATTAAAATTAATGCAAGCTATTTGCCCATTCAAAAAGGAAAGGGCAGACCAAGTAAGACATTCTTGCTCTCACGACTCTTGTTCCGATCCATCACGGGCCTACACTAAGACTTTCCACTCCCAGCTCAAGTCCCCATCAAATAAACACATATAAGCTATTAATTTCAACATCTAAAACATGTCATGAACATGCAATTATTATTTGAAAATCGAAAATGGACCGTCAAGAAAATCATTTTTTTCCTACTCTTTATACAGAAATCCGTGTAACTATCGGTACTGATTCGTTGCATTTCATAGTCTAGTATGATTTATAGTGCCAGCACTAAAAATGGAACAATAATAGAAAAAAGGCAAATCAATTTGATTTTGGATAGGCATCCATTATTATTTTTTTTATTAAACTAAAGTGATTACAAAGTAGTAGTAACTGTTCTAAATACTCTCAACCAAAACGTTCAATAATCACATTGCCGTAAACGCTAGTGCTCGAACCCATGACATTTAGGAATAACAACAATTCATTTAACCATTGAGGCAAATTGGTTCGTGTAGGCATCCATTATTATTTCACTAGCTAACTGTACTTGATCATGATGGAACCAATCATGCATTTATTATTATTTTAATATTTAAAGTTAATAGGATTTGGTTCTTGGTATTTGCAATTTGTTAATATATACGTAAAATCATTTGCTTTTTATGATTAGATTACAATTGCATTTTGAACAAATCTTTTATGTTTGAGAATATGGAGTTGAAATTTTGATTTATTTGTTATTATGGTCAGCTTTATTCGAGGTCAATCTGATATGTTTTTGGAGTGGTATCTATATTTGGATTTGATCAAAATCGAATCAATCTTACATTTTATTTTTAAGATAAGAATATTATTACATTTTGAACAAAACATTTTCACTTGGTTTATCAATTTAGATAAATGTGAAACCATCTTTGCTTATACCATTACAAAATGGCTAGAAAGAGCTTGTATTCATTAATGTGTCTAAAAATATTTATGAGGTATCTGGGAACATTCGTCTGTGAGTTACATATGTAGTTATATTGGTGAAAAGAATCTGCATTTACTTATTTTAATGTGGGATATTATCAATTATCCATCCAGTGGGAATCAAGGACGTATTGCCATCATATTTGGACCCAAGATTGTAGCCTCAAGATTTACTCACGGGTGTAAGCTTTGCCTCTGGGGGTCAGCATATGATCCATTTAACTTCAAATTTTCAGGTCTGGACACTTATCATATCCCCAAAACAAAGATATTGTTCTAAATTTTCAGGTCTGGACACTTTTCATTTCCTCAAGATTGATGTTTTAACTGATAAATCCCATAATCCCTTCAACAATAATACCAACAGCTTTTTCTAAGTTTTTTTTTTTGTTAACGAGTATTGCTTAATATTAATTTTTAAGTTATTTTTTTAGGTTCAAGAACTAATAATGGTTGTATCTAGCTATTCAGTTTTGGGTAGCTTTCATAACCCAAAAAAACAGTAAACGTTATTTGTTTTGAATGTTTTTTTATGGAAGTGCATTGTTCATAACTCTCAGGCCTACCCGGCCATATAAATTAATATGCCAAAGCCAGAATCTCAAATGCAAAAACCTGTTCAAAAGTAACATCATAAGTCATTAGAAACTGAAGTTTCTGTGTGTGGAAATGCCTCGTGCTGCCTCAAATATTATGCTGGCATTATGTGTTGTTCTTTCTTTATATAGCACAAGAGGGGGTGCGGTCTCTGCTGCAGGCCTTCCTGGATCATATCCTGCTATTTTAGCATTCGGAGACTCAATTCTGGATTCAGGAAACAACATTCTTATAGGTACCTTAACAAAATGTAATTACCCTCCTTATGGAAGAGACTTTCCCGGAGGAATATCGACCGGTAGATTCGGAAATGGAAAAGTTTTCTCCGACTTGATAGGTACATTTTCTACGTTAAAAAGAATTGGAAATTAGGACAACTTATTTTATCCATATTTCCTCGTACAGCTGAACGATCGGGAATTAAAGCTATACTGACAGCATTTCTAGACCCAAACCTTAAAGACGAAGATCTTGTGACAGGCGTATGCTTTGCTTCAGGTGGTTCAGGATTGGACCAACAAACAGCCAACTTACAGGTTACTCACACAGTTTCCCTGGAAATAAAATTGATTTTGGTCTCTTTGTATTAATTCTAGTGGTGCGTATCAGAATGTATTATCAATCACGGCTCAGTTCAATCTCTTCAAACAATACGTTGGAAAGCTAGAAGGGTACGTTGGAACAGAGAAAGCCCAAGGCATCATATCTCAAAGCTTGTACCTCGTGTCATCCGGCAACAACGATATTTGCCATCAGATATTTTTCGATTCTGAGGAACGACTTCGATGCATACACAACACAACTGGTTCAATGGGCATCCGCTTTCATACAAGTAAAGAGAATCGTGTATCCTTTGACCAATTTTTTTCTTTAAAATCATATTAACTGTTGGTTTTTCAAATGGTGTTTAAGGATATGTATGGGTTGGGAGCAAGGAAGTTTGCATATCTAACAACTCTGCCTTTGGGGTGCCTGCCATCAGCCAGAATTACGGCGGGAGGAATTTTAGGAAATTGTTTTGAAATGGAAAATCAAGCTGCAGCTTTGTTCAATTCAAAGCTGGAAGCTGAAGTAACCGATCTTAACAATAACCTTCCTGGAGCTGACATTTTCTTACTAGACATCTACAGCCCTTTGCTTGAAATCATTCAGAATCCCGACAAATATGGTAGACCCTGAATCGTGTAAAACATGTAATTGAATTTAGTATTTGTACTGAACTATTTTTTTAATGTTATTTTAGGATTCATTGATTCCACACATGGCTGCTGTGGCTCGGGAACATTTATATGCACTTAGAGGGATCCATCGACATGTCCGGTTACTTCTACCCATGTGTTTTGGGACGCTGTTCATCCTTCAGAAAAAGCATACCGAGCTATTATCTCACAAATCCTTGGATAAAATTCCGCACCAGCTTTTGGTTATACAGTTTTACTAGAGTTACTACTAATCTTGACCCTTCATTAGTTTCATATAATACATTAACAACTTTGTTTCGATTATTTTGTCATTAGCTCACTTAATGAATGTACTATGTTAAAACGATCAATTATAAATTAATCCTCTCTTTATATATTAAAATTATGTGATTGGTGAACCCATTAAACAACTTCAATGAATAAAAAAAATGTTATTACTCTTAGTAATTTCGAATTCAAGCATCCACGAGTGTAAGCATATTGTAAATGAGTAAAAATTCTGAACAAATACCCATTTTAGAAACAAATAAAAGATTTAAAAACTAATATTATAATTGAAACATATAGCAAGGAGACGCTATCCTTTGTTGAGAACCAGAGCTTCGAGATGCCTCGGGTGTTGAAAATTAAACCAACTTTCGGTGGAAAGTTAGATTTAATTAATCCACCGAATGACAAATGTCAAAAGTGGATTTGTGTTGAAAATTAACAATGGTAGAAATGTACTTTTAGTCATTGTAATTTAGGGTATTTATAAATTAGTCCTTAAGCTTCAACTATAAATACCCTAGCTCATTAGTTTCAAAACCATCCCAAAGCATTCTAGCTTTCTTCCAATACTAGAGAGAATTTCGAGAGTTTCTTGAGAGTTGTTTTCTCCTTTTTATCAAGAGAGAATTATCATTGTTTTCTCCTTGGTAGATCGAGAGAGGTTGTAATTCTATTTTCTCATAGTGAAATTCTTCTACCGTTGCCCGTGGGTTTTACCCTATTTTATTTAGGGGTTTTCACTTAAATTTTGTGTCTTCTTTATCTTCATTTTTATTTTCTCAAATTATCAATTGTATTTTTACTCTATCAGATAGCATTCTTCCGCAACATCGAGATGTCTCCACATTTGGAATTTTGGATGCTCTCTCTCTTGTTATTAAAAAAAAAAACTAATATTTCTAAGAGACAAAACTAATATATATATATATATATATAAGCCAGAAGTAGCTATTGTAACAGAAAATTCCAAAGCCATCGTATCTATTATCGAATACCTCGATTCTCGTATGAGCTGAGAAACGACATGACATTCAGATCACCTATTTTATTGTCCTGAAATCACTCTAGTCAAAGTTTGACCTTTTTAAAGTTTTACAAATTTCGTTTTCCAAACGTTAAATATTTTAGTTAGATCGGGTCAATCTCCGCTTCCTTCTCTTCCTTTTTCACCTTTCATGTATAGGACTTCCGAAACCTCCCAAATGGATGAATCATCATCATGTCATCGATGGGTAGGATAATCACGTTGAGGAGCTCGGACGGCGAAACCTTCGAGGTGGACGAGGCGGTGGCTCTCGAATTGCAAACGATCAAGCACATGATCGAGGACGATTGCGTTGAAAACGGCATCCCTTTACCCAACGTCACCAGCAAGATCCTCTCTAAAATTATCGAGTACTGCAAGAAACACGTGCAAGCAGCTAACTCCGACGATCGTTCTGTCTCCATCGACGATGAGCTCAAGTCTTGGGACGCGGATTTCGTCAAAGTCGATCAAGCCACCCTCTTCCATCTAATCCTGGTACGCATGCCTTTCTTTGATGACCTTCATAAAGATTTAAAGTTTAACTTAAAATTTATTTATATCTAAGGATTTTTTTTCCTAATGAACAGGCTGCTAATTATTTGAACATCAAGAGCTTGTTGGACCTGATATGCCAAACAGTGGCTGATGTGATAAAGGGAAAAACACCAGAGGAGATCCGTAAAACATTTAATATTAAGAACGATTTTACTCCTGAAGAAGAAGAGGAAGTTCGTCGCGAGAATCAGTGGGCCTTAATGACCCTAATTTTTTAATGCGTATGAGAACATGGGGTAGTTTTTTTCTCTGTTTTTTACTAGTCTTTTAACTGTCATGTTTCGATCATTCTAACGTTAATATATGCCGTTCTTTATTAATCATCACTATCAGCCTGTTTTCGGGATTCGCTTTAGCTACATTCAAGTGGAACCGGTAGGAAAACAAAAATGATTCTGCTAAAGCCAGGTTAAATTAAAAAGCTCCGATTCATGCTTATTATAGTGGAACTTATGAGAGGTACGGACACAAGATTTGATTTTATGTTTGGGGGAAACTCCTAAAATTTTAGGAGATGAGAACTTATAAAATTCTAAGGGCAAAAACATATCAAATTTTGTGAGAAAACGTGGATCCTGCTATTTTGTTGTAGATGTTGTACACCTTACTCGAATGCTAAGCCACCATTTTTACTGCTTATAGCAAACGGACTTCTGACTTTGTATTTTCCATTAGACCACGTTATGGATCCAAATACATCTTTCTTGAGCGGATTTCCGATAGAGAAGCTCACTTGATACGATGATTTGTCACCAAATTTAGTGAATTCCAGGTTATCCGGGACCACTTGAACATAAAGACCTGTAGGTGCATCAACGCTAACGTTGTACACTGTTTTTGCATCTCCGGCGACATTTGTAAGGGTTCTGATCACTTTCCTGCCTGCTTTCTCATCGAAATAGGGAATCGATATCGATGGATAATTGATGTTGGATATAAGATCAATGCTCGACTCCTTCGGGCATGTAAACCCATGCGGGATAGTGTAGGCCATAATTTTTATTGTAGATGTATTATAACCATGGTAGCATAGGAAATTCAAGTAGTCAATGGTAGTAGTCTCATAAACCAGGCCAGGCTGTAATGGTCCCGTGGTGCTTACTTCTCCGGCACCGAAATCATAAGGTGTAGCTGCTGTACTTTTCTCAGTCATAATTGGCGCCTTATTATTATTTATTTGGGCCGCTGTAAATTGTTTGGAAGCAGTCATAGGTTAGGCAAAAATTTCAGACTGTACCGTGTAGATTTGCGTTTTAGTTCTTCACCTGTTGTCATGATGGCTGACCTGATTGCGGAGGGGCTCCATTCAGGGTTTCTTGATTTGACTGTAGCAGCAATCCCGGAGACATGTGGAGATGACATGGAAGTTCCTGAGAGCAGATTATACAGTGGCGGCTCTTTGCCTTCTGGAGTCTCAGCTGTATCGTTTCCTATCCATGCTGCAAGAATGTTCACTCCGGGTGCTGCGATATCGGGCTGCAACACATTCAGTATAGCTTTACTATGTTAGCCTTGGAAGAAACTAAGTTCTATATAACAAAATAGAAGACTATTTGCCTTGAGGATGTTCTTTGGGATGTTTGAAGGGCCTCTAGATGAGAAATATGGTATTGTAGGTGCTGGCTTAGAATTTGTCGACGATGGCAAGATCACGGCAACTGGATTTCTACAAATCTCAAAACAGATAAATGGTAAATATTTTCAAACATTGAATTAATTCAGAATCCTGAGTTACATTTGGGATGTATTACTTTATTGAGTTGATGTAGGAGAGAACCTTTGCACCATCTTTTGAACTGATCACACTTGTGGGAAATGCACCAAAATTGAATTCAACCTCTCTTAATTCATCATCGATCAGGATTACCCCAATACCTCCAAGTTTCTTCACTTCATTTTGCTTATTTATATATGGAAACAATGAATCTTCATTGTCACAAACAACGATCTTTCCTTTGATAAGTTCTTGTTCCATGGAATCTGGCCTGCAGTTCCTGAACAACAGAAATCATGGAATAACCGATCATTTAGGGTGCATATCGCTTTAACAAAATTGCCACAATTTACTCTATTCTTAATCACCTTGTTGCATTTTCGGCTACTCCACTTTTCCTGGCTGATTTTGCGTACATAATTGGGTACACAGGAGATGCTTGAATGTTGGCGAAATTAATACCTTCGCCCTGCATATCAGTTAGAAGACGCGTGAGAAAATCTGACAAGAACGGAAAAGGGTCAAAGAAGAGCATCATTACCTTAATTACTTCATAGTTCCCCAGGACAACATTGGATTCAAACCCTCGGTCAATCGTGCTTGCGGCGACGGTCAAAATCCAAGGTGCAGAGTTCACAACTGAACCAGGGTTCGGTCCATCATTTCCCGCGGAACAGACCACAGTAATATTATTCTGCACAGCGTGGAATGCCCCAATGGCAATTGGATCTTTTATAAATTCTTGTTGCAGAATGGAGGATGATCCGAAGGACAGTGATAGCACATCAACCCCATCGGCAATCGCATCATCAAATGCAGCTAATACAGTGGATCCACGGCCTCTGTTTTGAGAGGAAAACACATCATATATAGCTAATCTAGACCCTGGCGCTCCACCCCTGGCGGTCCCTGATGCCAGCCCGTAGTAAGATGCACCATGGACCTCAGCCCCAGCTGCGGTTGACGCCACATGAGTGCCGTGCCCAATCACGTCTCTCGGCAAACTTTCGCCATACGATCTTGCCCCTATTATCTTTCTGTTGCAAAACAAAGCTTACCACTTATTTACGAGATCAAAATATTCTATGATTATATTTTAATCATATCTATAAGAGGTAAGGATACCTGTTGCAATTGAAGGTGCTGGAATCCCGTCCTTTTGCGCAGATACCACCCCATTTTTTAGGAATTTCACCCATTTCCTTGTCGTTAAAACTCTCCGACTCTGGCCAAATTCCTATGTCCTCGAATTCGGAAAAATAAAAATAAAAATCGCCATTCGAATTGCATGATATACTTGCAGAAAATATCATAACAACAAAATGAGTAAAAGACACTGACGTCTGACGTGATTATGTACATAGGTGAATAAGTTTCACCTGAATCCATGATGCCAATGATGACATCTGAACCATGATCTGTTAAGTTCGAGTCTGAGCTGGGGTTTGATTCCATCATCACTGACGTTCCATACTTCAAGAAATCCCATGATCGGGTAGTGTGGAGTTCCAACACAGGGTCGGGGAAGACTGACACAACTCCAGGACTCTCAGCAATTGAATTAGCCTCTTCAGCAGATAAAAGCACTGCAAACCCAGAGAAGCTTTTTTTGTAGTTGTGTACCAGGGCATCCTTTTTCCTGCCCACGTGAAAGTTTTCAACTTCACAACAGATTTCTCTATGAATTGAAGCATCAAAGGCAAAGGGCATGGGATTCGTAACCAACTCAAATATAAAGTGAAAAAAATAATAAAAATGTATTCACCGTTTTAACAAAGAATCTAGAAGTTGGGTATGATCATCCCTTAATGAACCCTTACTCGAAGCCGGTGCACCCATGTAAACAATATAAACGCCATCCTCATCTGCAGCAGCTCCTCCGGGTTCCAGAAACATTGAGACAAGGAATAAAAAGGATGTAAAACTGAAAATAAAGCTAATAAGGGCCTGCATGGCGTTAACCGAGGCTCTGAAAAGTGCTTCAAATGGCTTTGATTAAAGCAAGCTTCCAGTCTACTAAACGATGTAAATAGAAGAATGAAGTGTGAGAAGTTGTACAATATTCTTATATATAGCGAGAGTGCGGTTATACCAAATGGCTTAGGTAAGGTGGTGTTGATTAAAGACTTATGCCAGACGTTAGATTCAAAAAGACGATGTTGAACGTGTAGTTTTGTGTATGGAAGTTGTATTGTGTAGTGCCGTGGCGTAACTTCTTTCTGTATTAGTCTTTTTCAAAAAGACATATGATATAGTTAGGTTAGAAGTGAGTTAACTGGTGATTCTTAGCTTCAAAGGGTGTCCACAGGTCAACCTAAGGTAAGCTTCTCCTTCCCCACCAACATCTGAATTTCTAAAAGGTATAATTCCTTCCTTGGTCCCCTGATTTGGTCTGCAAACTGAATTTACCATTTCTACTCTCTATTGGGCTTAATCATAGCCCAACACCATTTCAACTTAGGTCAAAATTTCCTATAACCTAAGAAAAAACAAGGCCCATCTTGAGTTAACCCAAAACTTTCAACTCGGGATATGGGGTGGTACATTTAATATGGTTTAGTTGTTAGTGTGACATTGGGCTAGTAAGCTTAGCATTTGGAATTTGTTTCCTTAAGCAGGTTAGTAGGAGGAGCTTCGAGGAGCCATTTTGAGCAGTCGAGATCCAGACCGAGTTCAGAGCAGAGTCCGTCTCTAGTTATTTCTCTAGAGGGCATGTATATTTATAGACCCTATTTGTATATTCGATTCGTAACTTTATTTTGAAAAGTTGTGTTGTATATTTTTGATACACTTCTACTTTTGGGAGCTCCCCTGTTTAACTTATTGTATATATTTATGGTTGATTTATTTGATAAAAAAAAGTATTTTAAATCATTGTTTAAATGATTAATTAAAAGAAAAAAATTGGTTAGCTACTTTAGTGGTCTCGTGTGGCATTATAAACGGTAGACTGTGTGTCGAATCGGTTTAGGGTGTTACATTAGGGATTTGAGAATTTTAGGTTTTGAGATGATATTAAGAGTTGTAATCGATTAGTGGGTAATGGGTGGCCGGAGATGACCCACTGTTGGAGTAAATGAGACTAAAATAAGAGATTTTAAGAGTTTAGATTTTTTTGGTATTTTAAAAAATGGGGGTTTCACAAATAAAATATTTTTAAGTTTTTTTAAATAACATTTTAAGATTACTAGATTGTGACACATGTCATTTAACAGGGTTTTTAACAATCGTTAACACTGAGACACCCAAAGTGGTAACGTTTGTAACGTCAGACACTCAAAGTGATAATGTTTATAACTTTAGGCACCTGGATGAGCCGAAAAATACTTTAGACACCTGTTCAGAAAAAATAGTATAATTTGGACACTTATTTTATACTTAAGCCTAAAATAAACAATTAATATAAAAAGTTAGAATTCACGGAGGGCACACTTAATAAATGAATAATTTATAAATATTTTATAAATTCTAAATCTATATACATTTTAAGATAAATTATAAGTTTAATAATTAAATTATTATTTTATTCTGTTTTGGTACCTAAACTTTAATTTTTTTCCAAATTATATCTAATATTTAGTTTATGTTCCATTTTGGTACCCTTAAGTTAAAAACTTAATGAATTTGTATTTTGTGGGTAAAATACATCATTCATCACTTAACTATCTTCTCACTCCTATTTTGGTCACTAAGTTTAAAAATTTTCAATTTAACTACTCAAATTTCAAATTGTTCATGTTTTAATTGCACTAATTTATTTTATTAATATTTTTATGACATGACACTTTTATTGTTATTTTATTAATATATAAATAAAATAAAAAATAATTGAAATTATACTCAAAACAAAAAATGATACCGCAAAACTTAAATCACAAATCCCTCCGTCTCACTCTTATTGGCCTCTCTAACCCACTCATTTCTTTTTGTTAATTATATATTACCGTTGGACTTCATATAATATTTTAATTATAGATTTTTTTTACAAATCTAAAATATTTAAGGATAAATTTGTAATTTAACCTTCGTAGAATTTTTATTATTTAATGACAGAATAAGGATATTTTTGAAAGAAAAAAAAATTAAGGGCATTTTAGTCCTAAACGCAGGTAATCCAACAATACCTAAGGAAAGGAAGGTAATGACATTCCCGGTAATATACCCAAAAAATCTACTATTGATAATGTAAGATTACCGAGAATAATATTCCCGGCCAATCAAACGAGAAATATGTATTTCATTCTCATAAAAATCTTACATTCCTCCAACCAAACACAACTCCAAAATAATGTGTCAGAAATATAAATCTAAAACCTAATCAGTAGCCTCACGGGCGGTGAAGCTTTGGTCAACCGTCTCACTGGATTTATTAGCCACTGACCCCCAACGCACTCTGTGCCGCTCCTTTCAAACGACGCTACTGTTCTGTTGGCCAATTTTGATTGGACTCGGTATGGTGGAGATTAGGGTTAGAAAAATATATATGACAATCACTGATACCTTCTAAAGATATTAGCTATAGTTTAAAGATCTAAAACGACCCGATTAAGATAGAGATAAAAAAAATACATAAATAATCGTCTGATTATAAAATATATTTTATTAAATCTTTTAATTATTAAAAAGTTATAAAATTATTATTGGATTTTAAAACAATAAATTGATTTTTAAATTAAAAATTAACAAAAAAATGTAGAATTAATTTTATTATTGTTATTGTATCAATTTATTAATTTTCACGTTATTTAAATAAAAATTTATCTAAATATTGTTTTTAGATAGAATGATCATCTCGGTACGGACACAAGATTCTATGTTAGAGAACGATATTAAATTTAAGGAGCGAATTTGAATTTATAAAATTTCGGAATACGAAAATATACTTTCAATAGGAAATACATAGAAAAAATATAAAATTATTTTTAAAGTTCCATTTTTTAAACTATGCCTAAAATTTAATTTTTGTTTTATTTTAGTACACCGTTCAAAATTTAACGTTAATTTTGAAAAAAAAAATTAAAAGTTTAAATACTAAAATGGATAAAAAATGATAGTATAAATACTATATACATTAAGTTTTTAACAGTAAAATACTAAAACAAAACAAAAACTAAATGTTATGTATAATTTTTTAAAAAAAATTATAAATTTAAATATTAAAATAAAGTACAATAAATCATTTAAGTACTAAATATATAGTTTATAAAAAAATTATGGTGAGAAAGCCAAGTAATAACCAATCATGTCGCATATTATAGACCTACGCTCTTTCCCTTTAAATGCCTTTTCAAGCCATTGGTAGCAGAGAAAGCAGACATAAGCGGAAAAAGACAGAGGATGGATTCCATTTGAAATGATTTTTTAAAGGCAATTTATTATGGGATCGAGGGAGTAAAAAAGAAAAGGGTACAGCAAAACAAAACACCACCGTTGGCCAAATTAGTTTGGCAGCTTCAGATCTAAAATAGTCTTTATTTTACATAAGACTCGAGGGAAATGGGTGCCTTCTAGCTCCACAGCTCTCCTCAAAAAGGAGCAGTTAAAGTTCTACTTAGAGTAGTCTTTTTTGGCGGCTGATCTGGAGCTGACAACAACTGCAAAACAAGAGCCCAAATACATCCACTATATGATATCATGATCAACCAGCTGGATATCTCCCGATCAGCGAACTATAATTACCACTACATTTGTAAATACATCACCTTATCTTGCTGCCCTTTAAGCTTAGAATTCTCTTCCTTTAAATGAGCAACTTCAAGCTCCAACTCAGTTGTGTAAGCCTTGGTTAATCAAACATCAAAGGAACTCACAAACCATGTCATAAAAAATATATTACATACCGGTTTAATTTCCTCGCATAGTAATGTGTACGTGCATGGGGAAAAAAAGAGTCGAATAGATTCACACCTGTTTTCTAGCTCTTGACCGAGCAGCTGACTCTCTGTTCTTCATCATGCGCTTATGCCGCCTATCGTTGGAGTTGGATTTTTCATTACTTTCTGGAGCCCTTTTTCTTCCAAAAGGAGGGAAGACTGCCAAAGAACCAAAACCATGAAAAGTAGTGTTGTGAGAAGAACCAAAAGCTGGAGCCGCTGCAACACTTATAGGAGTGTTGAGTGTTGGGTTCGACGACCTCAAAGGGCCACCGCTGTCGACGTACCACAAGTCCGAGCAGGAATTCAAGTTCAAAGCTGTGGCGGCAGTGGGTGGTCGAGAAGTGTCATTGGAGACATGTGATGTTCCTAGAGTTGGAGTTTGTTTATTATAGATGGGTCCGGCAAAAAGGTCCAGAAGGATGATGCCGGGAAAGTTAGGGTTGTTGGGTCTGGTGGAGAGAGGAGGGAGGTCTTTTAGGGAGGGGAGACTAATATCTTTCCACATTTCCTCCATGGATCTTATGGCTAATTAATTGGTCAAGGCCAAGGACAATCGAAGACGATGCAGGAAAAGGAAGAGTTAGAAGGTGAAGAAGTGGAGAGAACCGTGGAGTTGCTATTATTGTTGTTTTTTACCTGGTAAGATTAAAAGGGCGGAGAATCTGGGGATAAGAAATTCAGACTGAAGGCATTATTGTGTACCACTTTTCAGACATGTATGGTTTTTAGGAGAAAATTACGTATTTAGCACCTAAATTATTAATTTTGATTCGTTTTAGATCTAAATTTTTAATTTTTTTTCAAAATCATATCTAATATTTTATTTTTATTTTATTTTAGTACCTGGTCGTTTAAAACTTAATGGGTGATTTGCGCATGGCACTTTTTTTATGGATAAATTGTATCATTCATCATCCAACTATCTTCTCACTCATATTTTGGTCATTAAAGTTTTAGTTTTTTTCAATTTAATTAGTGGACTTTCAAACTAATCCTAATTTAACCACTCTAACTTTCAAAAAAAATATTTTAATTATATATTAATAAAATAATAATGAAAAACATCATGCAACAAAAATTATTAATAAAATAAATTAGAGTACTAAAATAATAATGTACCATTTTTGTTTCTCATGCACCACCTCTGCCACCGTCCGTCTCGGATTGTGCTCAAGGTCAAGGTTTGTTTGAATTCTATAATTTTAGAGTGTAACAGTTGATTAAATGACTGTATGTATTGATTTCTGAAATAATAATTCAAACGGCCAGTTTTTAATATTAATCAGAGAAACGTTTGGATGAATCTAGACATGCTGAGGGCCAGGTTCATTGTGTTATTTCAGTAGTTTCATATGATTAATATAAGGAGTTACAGAGGTTTAAATTTTTTGAATTAAATCAGAATTTTAATTATGATTTTTCTTGAACGTTTTTACTCATACACATCCTATAAATAGAGAGCTCATTTCACTCTCAACTCATATACAATTCACTCAAACATTTCTCAACTCTCTCAAAACTTTCTAAGCTTCTGAGTCTTTCCGACGATCAGAGGAGCAGTACCATCAGCAGTCCACTCTGATTCCGGGCGTACGAAATTTGGAACGACCGTGCTAACCTCGGGGGACGATACGCCTATTGGAGCGGTTACACATATCGGGGCGAATTCGTTTGTAAGACAATTGTTTTTACCACGATACGATTTTAGTTAATTCAAATTATTTATTTATTTATTTTCCAATCAGTGTTAATGGTATGATTTTGTAATCAATATTACCAACAAATGTTATATGTAACCCATTGGAGATGGGATCTTAGACATTCACATTGTATTGGATCGACCCCTTTATTTATTTTTGGATAAAACGTATATTTTATATCCAAAAGCAACCCCTTTATTTACCTAAAGGGTTAATGTTAATTTAGTTCAAACAAATTGGAATTCCAGATAGCTCAAATCCGATTTCCGAAATGAAAAGCTAGTTCATCTAAATTAATGTGAAGTTAATAACAAAAATGCCAATTGATTTGATATTTTCTTTTGTGTGTATTACTCTCTCTGTGTGGAAAAGGTCTGACCTAGTGATAAGGTATCTTTACTGTATCTGTACGTGCTAGCGTGACCACAATTTGTCCACAACTGATGGTACATTATTTTTTCCCCAATCATCAACTGCCTCTTCATTTTATAGGGTAAACTACAAAAATAATCATTAATATTTGAGTAATTTTCTTTATTTTTCTCAATAAAGTTTCAAAACTAACAAATTGATCATTAATATTGTCAATTTATAACAAATCAATGACAAACATTACCGATTTATAATAAATTACCTACAAGTAGTTAACAACCATTAACATGGATGGTGAAATGCTGTTTGTGGCACTTTATAAACAAGTTGACCACTTTTTGACTTCAAAAAAATATTTTTTTAAATAAACCCTATCTCCTTTCCACCTTTCCACCTTTCTTTTCTTCTTTTTTGTCTTTCTTCATCTTCCTTAACAATGGAAGACCCTGCATGGTTAAGGGATCCATTTGACTGTTATATACTGTCGTTAGTTGAACCTAAGATGCTGATACATCTTTTTGTTTTCAGAAAGATGCTATCAGGTTTGTATATAATTATTCTTGATATAATACGAAGGTAGTTTTCTTAGCTTAGATTGTGCTTCTCATGCTCCCTCATAATATATATTTTTCTATATCTTGCATGATTTTCTATATTCAAACCGATATACTAGAGGAGAGGATCACAGCTCGGACATGAACCGGTAAGTGTCTAGCTACTCCATGTATTAATAAGCAATTATATTTTCTTGTTCTATCATAAACTGCATTGTTTTTTTAAGGTCAAGTAGAAATGGACTTGGCAGAAAGAGAATATCATTTGTCGAAAAACTTAGTCGGGGTATTGTAAGGTGTCATGCAAAATCCTTAGGTTAGTCGGAATGCTAAACGAATAAGAGATTATGGACGAATGTATCAAACTGTATCAACAGAATCTCAGCCTATTATCACTAATTTACAGCAGTTATATAGTGCAACTTATGAATCCCTGCCTCATACGAATGCCTACCAAATTGCACACAGGCAAGAGACATGTAACAAGTGAAAAGGTCTTATCATTTTTCAAATGTTTATTGGCAGTTAAAGAAACAAAATAAAATTTGTATGACTAGAAGGGGTATAATTCTAGACAACATGAACATAGTTATATCCCATTATCCTTACGTTAGATAGCATGAAAGCCAATGAAATGAGAATGTTAAACTACCTATGGAATTCGTTAGCCATGTAAGGTATTCCACAGTTAAGGAAGATGACGAAAGACTAAAAAAAAGAAGAGAAAGAAAGGAGGAAAGGAAAGAGGGAATTTATTAAAAAAATATTTTTTTGAAGTCAAAGAGTGGTCAACTTGGTTACAACGTGCCATATCAGCATTTCGTCACTCATGTTAACGATGTCAACGACGAGTGGCTGATTTATTATAAATTGATAATGTTAGCGACCAATTTGTTAGTTTTGAAATTTCAGCAAAGAAAACGAAAGCTTACCAAAACATTAGTGACCATTTGTATAGTTTCTCCTATTTTATAACTTGAAAATTTTTATTTTGGATTAAATTTATTTTTCCTTTCCTTTAATATAATATAAAGGTATATAATTATAATGCATTTCCTTTCCTTTAATATAGTACAATGCATTAAAAGGCCATTAACCATCAATATTTAAAGCATAGTAATGATGCCATAAAACAGCAATAACTCCAAATAATAATTATAATGCATCCATCCTACCTAATTTATTATAGCATCACAAGTTTTAGAGCATCCATGCTTACCAATAAACACCATTTATTAAAATGATGTTATAATCCACCATGTTCATGTAGAGAGATACCTATTGAAACCTTGCCAAAATGTTGGTTTTTAATAATACATTTTACTCACATTATTATTGCATTTTAATATAAAGATGTCTATTAAAACTTTATACCATCGTGTTTTAAAAGTACATATGATTTTAATTATCATAATAAAAAAATGTGGATAAAATAATTATTAAAGACCATCAAAGGTAATTTAACAACTAAATTATCATTTCTAAATATAATGCCATTTTCTATCATAACTAAAGACATCTAAAATGGCATTATTATTTCAATTAATAAAATCCCATAAAATGTCGTTCTATCCACAATAATTCAAACGTTTCTATATTTAAAACGCTGTAAATTATCTAACCACCATTTTCATTAATGCATGGTTTACAAACAATTTAAATGTCGTATTGATACACATTAAAAATATGCATATTAATGCATGTAAACACTAAAATGATATATTGCCGTTTCAAGTTACCATTACATTTTCTTTTCTTTTTTATCTGAGCATGATATTAATCTCATGCATTATTCATCATCAACCAACCAACTATTATCAATTATGCAAATATTTATTTATCGTTTGATATCCTTAACACTAAAGATTAATTCCGACATATTTCTTCAGTAATTTTTAGGGATATAAAATGTATATGAACATCTTTTTGCTTCCAGTAACAAGATAGATCAAGCCTGAATTCGGATTAAAAATTCGTGTATCGAAGATCAATCATGACAAGTATGAATTCTTTTAACAACAACAATATGAATTCGCTTCTAAATTGTTGCAAAATGAGACGTGCTAGAATTTAAATATGATAATTAGAATTTTTTTATTAAGTTAAAATTTTAGAGAATTAGTCACCCAAATATAATATAATATCAAAATTTAAAAGTTTGAATGCTAAAGAAGACATTTTCTTTATTTTCCTCCAGCAGTATATTATTTTTATTATGCGCTTGTAGAATTAAATAATTTTCATAAAGCTTTCTATCAATATAGTTAATAATTAGTTCATCTCATTCTTTAGCAATGATAGAAACTTGTCATCTGGTGATGATAGCACCGTCAAGCAAGAGGCTAGAGTGGCAGATTGAAATGTGACTTAAAACTAATTGCAGGCAAACTCTATTGGCTAGCCTATATAATTAGGGCAGCATTATCTATTCTTCCCTCATTTCAATTAAAAATAATCGAAAAATCTGTTTAATTTGTTATTCTTTGAATTATCCACTAATATAGATGGATTATACCTCATTTAACCAATTTAACATCAACAGATTTGACGTATTAAATTGGTTATTCAATTTTATATTGATTTATTTACAAAATAAGTGCTTCTAAATTTATCAGGAAATTAAGTTTTTAATTTAAATTATGAATTAGATTAGTCTTTATATAAAATGAATGCGAACGTGCAAGCTCTTATCTGAAAATTATGAAACATATCAGCTCTTATTTGAAAAATCATAATTGAACGTTTTCAACATTTAATGAAGATAGGCAGCTACTAAGCTCTGGAAACAAGCAATAAAGGGGAAGATTTCTGTCAAATAAAAGCCTATACTTGTTCAAACATATCATTAGACACTTGGCTACAAAAATAAACAATGTCCGCCTCTTGTGCGGTGAGGCAGCACTGCACTAGAAAAACCTGAATGCAACAATGCTAGTCTCTACCCATCTACACATCCTAAAGTTAAAAATGCTAGTAACGAACGACGGGAAAAAATAAACGGACCTAAAGCTAAATAAATAAAAGCCCTCATAAAACATGTAACTGGGCATGCATCCGACACCATTCTGATTTAGTTCAACGACTGCCACCACCACCTCATGCGGCTGCCTGAATTTGCCCATTAGACCTAATCCCACGGCCCCTTCCACGATATCCTCTTCCACGGCCACCACCACGACCTTCAAAAAAGCAAATCCACAGGACCTTTAGACAACATTCTTACTTATTCATCCGTACAGCAACTTAAAAAAAAAACCCTCTTCCTTTCCTATTAAACCTATTGGCATAATGTTTGTTTATTCTGACTGACAGAAAATGAAGAATATCCTACCTAGCAAATTATCCATCATGTCATCACCCAGTTTTTTTTTATTGAATTATCCTCAGTGAACTGCACAATATGTTGAAAACACTAAGGGCCAACACTAAAGGTGATTATGGGCAAATACATAACCGTAATTTTTGCGGGGGAAAAAAATTAAACATGCTAAACTCCAATAAATAAACAAAACAAAGAGAAAACTTACCACGGCCACCTTGGGGAGGGGATTCATAATTGTAGCCTCCATCTTCCAACCTATCAACCTGAGGTCCATTATATCCTCCACGTCCACGGCCTCGGGAACCACGTCCACGGCTTCGACCTCTGCCCCTAGCATAGCCACGATTACTATCCCAGCCTCCAGCCTCATACTCAGCAGAGACAAAACTATTCCCTGAAGAAGAATGCAACTAAATACTGCTTAAAAAATCCTCATATAGCATTCTATAAAATTCAGACGCATGGTTAATCATGCAAAAACACAACAAAAATCATCTAACAGGTGCATCTCTATTCAAAATTGGCATACCTCCTCTACTCCTTGGCCTGCCTCTACCACCACGTCCCCTACCTTGTCCATTAGATGAGCCCTCTGCCAAACAAAAAGAAATTTATAAAAGGAAATATGGGTTTCACAAACCAACAGCACAGGTAACGAGTTGTGTCCATACCTCCTTCAGGATCAATTTTTATGGACGCCTTCACCTGGTCAGCTGGTAATGGAGGCTGATACCTGAATAAGGAAGCGGTTCATAAGTCCCAGACATCTTTGATAATTCATGTAAACTAACAAGACATCATCATCATTAGAACCTAAACCATAAACCCTTCCATATGCTAAAAGTTTGTAGTCCCCAAGACACGTAAAAGTGACATTAAACAAGATTAGATTTAATGAAGCTATAACCAACTAGTTTCATATTAACTAAAAAAGGAACCCGGTTGACACTTAATATTTTTAAAATTAACAAAAACTGAAGGCATCAAGTAAAGTTAAGAATAATGCAGTAAACGGGAACAAGTGTAGGAACTTACCCAACAGATAATGTATTGAATTCTTTCTTCGAAAGGGTTATAGTGATCGTAGACACATGCCTAGTTGTCTCCAATCTGAGATAATCAAACAATGTGAACTAGAGTCTTCTAAATAAACAGATTAAAGATCAGAGAAAATAACAGCTATTCCTCCCAACAAAACAAAGATTGAATAAAGCACTTACGGAAGAAGTCCTTCTTCAAGAGGCTCCCACATATCTGTTATATCCGTGGATCCAATTGATGTATTCTGATGAAGACCGACAATTCTTCTCTGCATAGCAAGTACATGGAGCACATTTTCAGCTACCTTAAACAACAATCAATAAATCAAAATAAAAAAATCAAACACACGTAGGCAAACTGATATTTATTCAAAATTACCTTAATTAACTCCACAATTGTTACAGTCTTGTTAATGGCTCTCCCCATTGCCTTAAAGACTATTTGATTCGAGCCCTTCTCCTACCAGACATTAAATTCATTAAAAAAGAAGCAAACATTAGATTAACAAAGAAAGCTACGAACAGTTAACCAATAAGAGTTCTTGTGCATATTTCTCAAATTATGCGAACACCCAGCTCATATAAAAGATCTAAATACGCAGAAATTAAACGAAATGAAGGGAAAATAACCTGAAGCAAAGTCATGGCATAAGTGATATAATTACGCATCCTGCCTTGACTGGTAATGCGAATCTCGTTCTCATCGATAGGTGCCTCTGCTTTCGGCTTCTCCACTCTCTGGTAACGATCCATCTTTTTCTCCACCAATAAATTAATATTCCAAAAGTTCCACACAGACAAAAATAAAATAAAAATAAAAATTACAGAACAGGGAAAAAACAGTGGGGTTAGATCCGAAAATTACCTTAAATGGTTTGATAATGGAGTCGTAAAGGATAAATTGGGGGGTAAACTCCACCAAGAGAGAGCCTTCTTCTACGGCTTATTTTTCTTTATTTTACGCCCTAAAGCCGTTCTCTTCAGCTGTCTCTTGCTTATTTATAGTCTCTACGCTGCACGCTTCTATAACTGCCCTAACTGACTGCGTTCATCCGGTTCAGCCCGGTTCTATTTCCTTAAATTTGTTTGGTAAATTCACAGTTGGTCGCTTCACTATAAACTTTTTCATTTTAATCACCAACAATTAGAAAATTATACTCAAACTTAGACTTTTCATTTTGATTAGCAACACGTATTATTAAATGTAGGTCCCATGAAAACCCCAACCTACTTCTATCTTCACCCCTTATATTTATTAAAAAGTTGACAATATATTCTTTTAATAAATTGAAATAAAAAAATTAATCTAAAGTTTAAATTAGTTATGTTATTTTTTATAAAATATTTTTTTTAAAATTATATTTTTTTAATTATTATTGTATAATTTATATTTTTTTTGGATTTTTTAATACAAAACAAAAAACGTAAAGAAATATTTAATGGTCGTGGATCATGAGATCACGACCATGAGCATCATTATGCAACAACAATCTAATCTCAGCATGGGGGTGTTAAATGGGGGTGTTAAAATATTCGAGCACGGACCAACGAGTATTGACACAAGTGATTTAAATTCAGGAATTTGAGTTTATCAGGTCAAGTTCGAATATTATTATCGTCACTCTTGGTGGACAATCTATAAATTCTTATTTAATTATTGGATTTTAAATATGTACTGACCCTATATTAAGGGACCCACCCCTAACCCAAACTTTTTATTATAAAAAGGAAAAAAATATTCGAGCACCAAATGATAGATTCCACGTTAGTTTAATCCTGTTATCTGTAACCATATTATTTTCTCAAAGTACAGTTGAACTTCTTTAAATATTTTTAATATACTAATTTAATTATACGTGAATCAATTATAAAGATTATTAAGAGTTGATGAATTTTTATTTTAATCAAATAATATAAAGAAAAAAAGTGAATTGTGTTACTTTTTAGTTTATCATACAAATTTTTAAAAATTAGATAAATGTTATTTAATTTTTTTGTATTAGTTATAATAATTTCAGCATTCACTTAATTAATAAGCATAAAACTATAAAACAAAATATTAACTTTCAGATATATTTAAAATTTAACAATTTAATAATTTAATTTAATTTTATTTGTACTTATTATCTTTCATGTCATGATTTAATAATATTTTAATTATTTAATCTAATATTTTGTACACAAAGTATAATTAATTTAAACTCTAACTTACAAGTGTTTATGTTCTTGTTTTATCTGCAAACTAAATTACCAACCATTTAAAAGATGTAAGAACTGAGACTAGTTCTTAACAGGATTATCTTAAATTTTATATTTAATTTTTTTCAACTAACATGTAATGACATATATCATCATTATATAACGATACATGTTATTAATAAAAATTAATGTCGAGTAATTCAAATGAAAACATCCAATCAAAAGATTCACTTGGATTCAAATGGACTGTTATTTTATGTTTGGTATAATTGGATTCCAATCTAGAGTCTAATGATCCAATCATTTTTTTTCTGTTTGAACAATAAATTTGTGATACGATTCGGCCCACTCCATTATGTCACAATTTTGGAGGGCAACTGGACCCTTAAAAGGTCCAATTCTTTTAATCGTATTGGTTTACCCTTTTATTTGTTTTCCAATTTCCCATACTTTAAATGATAAATAAGATTATAAAATTGTTTAAAAAAATAAAGAACTGTCTGTAATAGATAAAATTTGCAAAAAAAAAAAACTGTCTAAATGATAAAATAAATTTAAAATAAATAATTCAAAAAAATTATACCATATAAAAAGATATTAAAAAAATTGATAGAAATTCGTTAATTTTATTAAAAATATAAAATATTTAAAATTAAAGTGAAGATTTATAAGTATAACCATAAACCTAAAATATAATTATGACATTTTCCTATTATCATTGAGACAAAAACTAGCCACATATATCACATAAGGACCAAATAAGTATAAGGTTTAAAAACCTAACCAAAAAACTCGAATAAAATAATGATATGAACAAATCTTACTGCATCGGTAAACAAACTACAAAAGGTGATGAAGCTACTAAAAGACCACTGACAAATTGCAATTCAGATTCAACCGACGTGAGAAAACTGTCTACGAATGCAAAACGTGTATCTAAATCAATCCAATGGTACAAAGCATGGAAGATCATCATGATGACAAATAAGCGTCATCTTGATCAGTCGTGACGATGTCAAATCCAACCCTGAGAAAAAAGATATACAAAAACAACTGCAAAAAAAGTAAGCTACCAAAAGGCAGATAAAACCATGCCACAAAGGCATAGATAAACGTGCCATAAATGCATAGAACATGTCATAAAGACATAATTATTCTTGTTAAAAAATTAAAAAAGAAAAAGAAAAAAACCAACAAATGGCAACCAATATTAAAATTGGTGCCTTCGTGGGTTAAACAAAATTAAAGAATAAAAAGTTGTATTAATCAATATAATTGACCCAAGTTGTAAAGAATAAAAAAAAAGGAAAAGAGAGGAGGAGAAAAAAACCGGCTAAGATGATTCAAAATTTTAAAAATATAATAATATTAAATACTTAATAAAAGATTTTGTTGTTTTTGTAGTCCTATATAACTTAACGAGAAAAGTTCATACTATAAAAGAATAATAGTTTAAATTATGTCAATATTAAAAAATAATATAATTAAATAAATTTTTAAGTGTAAAATGGAACCAGTTCCCTGGATTATGACATATGGGAACTGGTTCAGAATAATTTTGTCATTAAAGATATAAAGTTAGAGCAGTATTTGTAATGCTGATTGCTGCAATTTGTTGGAAAATTATTCATGATCCGAATCTTAAGCAGAGACTAGATATGTCGGCAAGTGACTCTTTACTTATGCAACGGCCAAGGCGCCGCAAAGCAAGGCCCTTGGACGATCAGTCGTCCCACCAGTGGACCCAATCCTTATCAGCATGTAAGACCGAACCTTATTGTACGACAACACAAAAACTAAATTTGATTACCGGGTAGGGTTTAGGGTTAAATGATTAATTTGAACAAACATCGGAGGCGATATTATTTTGTCCATAGATGCAATGATATTTGCAACACGGCCATTCTCCACGATCAAGCACACAAAAAGGATCCCATTCCGAGTCTCACTGCTTATCATTTTTCTCTTTCTCTCTCTCTTATACAGGCCAAATTCTCAGTGGCAATTCTAACCGGTCAGTCAGTCATACTCAGTCACCACCAGCCGCAGCCCTGATCAGGTGCTTTTTTGGCCAACTGGGCCTAGTTTTCTCGCGCACCGTCCCCGCGATACGATATTCCCTACTTAAATCAAATTATTTATATGGCTTAGTGCTCGACATGGAAACTTGAAAATATAAGGAATAAAAACGTTCGTCAGTGTTGTCGTTCCGATTCCATTTTGGCTTGTTTGCCACGATACGCGTCATCTCTAAAGCAGTTAACGATTCCTGGGTTTTTCCTTTCCTAATGTGGGCGTTATTGCTTCAATATCTCTGTTACTCAAACCCTCCCCCGCACTTGACCCTTCCCAAGAAGGAATCCTCCACCACGCTAAACTTTACATTTTTTTTCAAGCATCAAGCCAAGCTAACTATTATGCGCCACGGAGCACTCTACCCGCCTCCTCCTCTCCTTACTCCTTCTCCATCTCCCACTCCCATCCTAAACGCCGCCGTCACAGTCGGCGACCACGACCAGCACCCAATTCTGGTTTCTGTTCTCTTAGCCCTTTTTCTGCCATGCGCCGGCATCAGTGCAGTTTTCGTTGTTTATATTTGCCTTTTGTGGTATGCCTCGAATTTTCGGACTGACAATCAGTCAGGGTCGCCCTTGCCGATTAAGCAGGTGGGTGAGAAAGGGTTGTCTGTTTCAGAACTGGAGATGCTGCCCAAGGTTACCGGGAAAGAACTCGTGTTGGGGATTGACTGCGCAGTTTGTCTCGACGAGGTCGAGATTGAGCAACCAATTAGAATGATTCCTGGTTGTAATCACGGGTTTCATTTGGAATGCGCTGATACATGGCTTTCCAAGCATCCGGTTTGTCCTGTTTGTAGGGCCAAGCTTGAGCCTAAGTTGTTCGATCCTTCTCACGATAATTCCTGATAAACCCTTAATCCCTTAACTTTTATAACAAAAAAAAAAAAAAGTATCCTCTTTAAGAGTGTGAAAAAAGTTCAGTGTTTGATGCTTGTATGAAGATTTTCTTGGGGAGGAAGAAAATAAACGTGTTAATCTAAGTTGTGTTATATCACTTTCATATCAACATGAATGTATGGGTTTTCTCTTTTTTAGTGATATTTTGACGCTGATTAAAACAATTTCTCTTGATTTTTACTCGACATGGGATTTTGCTGGCTGGGTAAAAGACCTGCATGCTTTGAAGAGCTTGCTTTCTTTTTGCTTATTTGAGTGCATGTGATTCATTGCATTAACATCGCTGAAGGATGCCAAGGCCAGCCTGCAACAAACTGCAGGTTTATACGACGATCTAAGCAAGGGGATCAAATCGTATTACTGATTTTCATATTTTGACCGCATCGAGTTCGTGTCTCACTATCTGTGTCAGCTGTCTATTTATGAATGGTCGGTATTGTTTGTTCTGTGTCTTTTTGCCAATTAAATGAACGAAGGAAAGAATTTTAACTTAAATCGTCACACAATTCTATTTATTAGGCAATTTGATTGTCACCCACCACTCGTTTTACTTATATTCCATGTTTTACATCCTTAACCTAATTATAACTTAATACGGTTCCCCAATAGGTAATAAGCAATTTCTTGGAGTTAGCTATTTTTATCATGTTCTTGCAAATAATCAATGAACATGAAAGAAAATGTTTGAAAAAGAAAAACACTTTTCGTTAAAAAGGTGGATATTTATTGTATTAATTATATATACCGTCATTTAATTAAATGCGATGAATAAAATACTTAAGGAAGGGTGAATGGAGAGTAAATTGATAATTATTTTAATGATTTGTAAAAACACCCTTATAAAAAAAATCGTCTAAATATGGTTGAAAATTTGATGCGACAGGTGTTCCGAAACTTTAACTCGCTGGCTTGCAGTTCCATCAAAACAGAAATTGGGATCAGCTGCTCTTTCGCTTTTACTCACTTTTACACGGCAGACAGCACGACACGTGGTATTCGTTAACGACGATTATTTGTTTGTTGTGGGACCCAAACTCCTGAGATTCTAATTAGTTGAAGTGAACCCTACGACTTCATCCATGGCATCACTTGAGGGCTGTCCTTCTGCCTTAAACGTGGATCTAGGGATGTTCATAATTCGATTAACATCGAATTAACGGACTGAAATTTTAGGTTCGATGGATTAACTATTAATTTTTTAAAAAATGATTTTGGTTAAATCGATTCAAAATTGATTAACTGAATTAATCAAATTTATTAAATATTTAATATATTATATATATTATTTAGTTTTAGGTATGTTTAAAATTTAATTTTAACTAAATTAATCGACTGAATTAACAGAATTAACCAAAATTATTAAATATATAATATATATTATTTAAAAATTTTGGTTAATTCAATTAATCGATCAATTAATCAAACTTAGTTCAGTTTGGTTAATTTTTTTTTTAAAAAAAATTGTGTTTAATTAACGGTTAAAGAGAAAAAGTTAGATTAATGAAATATGAATAATTTGATTCAATCGATTAACCGAATTAACTGTTTGAATATCCCTACGTAGATTCATCCCGTACCCAACTTAAGTTGGCGTTATTAAATAAAAAAATCACATTTATTATTTTATTGAAAAAACAATCCTCAAACAGTATTAATTGAAAAATACCCCTCAAATTGCATACGTAGAACTATCTCGTGTTTTAGAAAACGTTCTTTAAATACCTCGGTTTTTGCAGAACGTGAGATCCATCAACTTTTTAGATAACTTCATTTAATTTTTTGATAAAGGCACAATAAATACATAGAAGTCGTTTTTCATAAAACGCGAGGTCTGACTCGCTTTTCACATAACACGAGATCATCTTACGTGGGTAGTTTGAGAGTACATCTTTAATTAATGATGTTTGGAGGTTGGTTTTCTAATAAACTAATAAATGAATATTTTTCATTTAATAACGCCCTTAAGTTATTATTGTTTGATTTAATTGACAAATAAATGATTAATTTTTTTTACAAAAAAATAAATGATTAATTATATTTTTTATTTAAATATTTAAAATCTTATCAGGTAACTATATTTTTTTATTATATTTATTAAAAAATTATATATTTCTATGACTATCTCCATTCTATTTATAATGTCAGTTATCGAATTTTTTGACATTTTTTTAAAATTAAATTCTTTTTTATTTAAAATTTACTAGAGATAAAAATATGAAAAAATATACTTTAAAAATATTTAATTAAGCACTTTTAAAATATATATTTTATAAAATTTAATTTGTTTTCAAATATTTAAAATAATTGTAATTAAAATTTAAAAACTTTAACTTTTAAAAAGTCTTGATTTTAATAGAATAGGAGTACTTTTTATTATAGTCGAGAGGAGTGGCCGTAGAGAGACAGGTGTGCCCTACTGCTTGTTGGATATCGAAAGTAAATGGCTAGATATTGAAATAATCTCCAAAACTTTTATTTTATAAAAAGAAAAAATGGGACATCAGTGGATACTTTCATCCTCTAAAGCACGCTGTTTCTTGTTCTATGGGATGCAAAACTGCTTAATTATTCTTGAACCACAATTTAAGATAAAAGCCAAAAAAAAGTTGGGAAAAGAAGGGATAGTTGACCATGCAAACTTGAAGGATCTAGCGTGGCATCAGGCCTCGTGCTCCAAAACAGCAGCGCATCTCCCATCTTTGGCTTCACAGCTAGACCCTGTTTACCACATTCAGACAATTCATTCCACCAAGGCACAGCAGTAACATTGCCTTTGGCTGCTGGAAATATTGTCTCACCTCCTTCTTCAACATCTGACCTGCATGAGTAACAGGAAGTAAGGTAAGAGATACCAAATCCTATTAATTTTCAAATATAGGAAGGTGAAACGAGTAAAGTAGTTCTGTGAAACTTGATTGGCCGTCAAATGCATCATAGACTTGTTCAGATAAAATTAAAAACTCGTCAACGAAGTAATCGAGGTGTGCATCATGTTTCTGTCCAACTTCATAGTGGAGAACTTGAAGGCCTTCTCCATTTTCTGTGTTTTACAAAGTTTCAAGTCATATTAGGGGAAAAAGACAACAAACCAAAAGAAAATTGATAACAATTCACTTAACTGCAAAAAGAAAGACTGGTATGAATATGGACATCATTTTCTGTAATAAGATGCTATAGAAAAACAGGCATAAATATTCCATTTGCACACTATCACCACTCGGGTTTAAATTAGACTCATCAAAGAAAGAAAGGGAAAAATGACATGTCAACAGATTTTGCACAAAAAAAAAGGTTTAATTATTATTTCAGAGTAAACTACTTCACTTGGTATTCGAATTTCATACCTACAGGAACGAAAGTAAAATCGGCTATCCTTTTCTCTATGACCCTAATGATTCTATCTTGCCCTTTTCTCAGAAACAAACCGGCACCCAGTGAAGAATGCAAGTCAATGTGAGATTAGGTTCAGACCCACAAAATTAGGCCTCCTCAAATAAGAGTTAGCGTTATCACTTTCAAAACAAAAAGCAAAACATAAACTGGTAGAAGCACAAACTTCTGGTTCGGCTCATGGATATCAGAAATGAATCCACTCGTTGACCAGGTTCCTGCTAATCGAATCATTCACCCTCAGGCAGTGGTACGTGACTTCACCACCAGTGATGAAGAGTGGAATGAACAATTACTCAGACAATCTCTTAACGAGGACCTTGTGCAATGGATTCTCGGCATGCCGGTCCCAAAAGATGGATTCGACGAAGACAACCCGGTTTGTAGATAGGAGCAAGCAGGAGATTGCACGATCAAATCAGCTTTTAATATGCTCCATCGCGCTAATTAAGATCCAAGCAATAAGGAGTGAAACCTCGTTTGGGGGTTCGATGGACCTCAATGTGTTCGTCAGTTTATTTGGCTTGTCCTTCGCCATAGAATTATGACTAATATGGAACGTGGGAAACGGGGGATTGCTTCTGATCAAAGTTTTCTAGTTAGTGGTGCTGGAGAAGAAACGATGATGCGTACCCTTAGAGACTGCCACCAAGGTAAAGCTATTTGGAATAATCTGTTGAGAATCTAGTGAGAAAACAATGAAATCATGTATATTGAATAGAGAAGATGAATTGTATTTCTTGATGTGTTTTACAAAGGCACCAGGCCATGCTTTATATAGCTTTTACAACATAGCTCACTTACTTCACACATACACACGTAACTAAGTAACTAACTCTCAACAGCCCTTAACTACATTAATTGACTACTAACAGCTGTAACAAACCTTAGCTACTTAGCTCTAATATTCCCTCTACTTTCTCCTCCTTCAACAAGGTAACATGTACATCTTAGCCCTGAACAATTGAGAAGATGAACAATTGAGAAGATGAACAATTGAATCGAAAGTGTCGATGCTTCATTCCGTTCACTTTGAATCGAAAGTGTCGATGCTTCGTTTCGTTCACTTTGAATCGGAAGACAAAATGAGGTTGTTAATGTGTAGTTACAAAGTCTGTTAAGACTATAACAACTATGAAGAGCTGTATATAAACAGTAGAGGAGTTATAAACCATGTATTGTATTCATTATCTGTTCAATATACAAGTATTTTGTGTTTCTTCACTAGATATTCAACATGGTATCAATCGCCATAAGTCCTGGAGAGATCGTTTCTGCTGCAAGAAGTTTCGGTGTTCATGGCTGCTGCTGATTCACAGTCGCTGCATGGAGTTCCTCCTCCTCCTCCTAGGTTGCTGCTGGCTTCCGTTTCCACCACCAAAGCTTCTGACGCATTACCCCTTCCTTTGTATTTAACGAATACGGAGGACGAGGAAGAGGAAAATGTCTTGCTTTGTAAAGAAGATGCACGTACAATACCTTGCCGCCAAGCTCTTGATGGCTCGCTTCCTTTACTGCCTTCTTATGAACCGAATATAACTGCCCAGAAACTGTTTGATGAAAAGCCTGTTAGAGTTACAACCGAGGAAGATGCCCGTAAACCTTACGGGCAAGCTGTTGATTGCTCGTTTCCTTCACTGCCACCTAGGGTACCGGTTGCAACTACTCAAACACTGTTA